GAAGTGGTAGCTCAGTGTTTAAGATGTTGGACTGCTATATCAGAAGGTCTTGAGTTCAAATCCCAGCACTGCCAAGCTGCCCCTGAGGGGCCCTTGAGCAAGGCCCTCAACTGCTCATTTGTATAAATGTAAGTCATTGTGGATGAGGGTGTCTGCCAAATGCTCTAAACATAATTCATTCTTAGAGTAAAGCTTTAAAGATACACAGGCACCTTTTTAAGTAAAAGATGTATACTAAAGGTATAAAAGGTGTACGCCTGGGGGTACCACCCCAATGACAAAGAATGGTACAGTTTAGTACGCTTTTTCTGAAAGTGTTTTTACTTGGCGTTTAAGGGTTAAGTAAACACAAAAAATGAGAAGAACTAGCCTACTTAAGGCATTATTATGCTTTATTAGGCAGTCCATCTTCTTCTTCTCCTCTCTTTCTGTCTTTTTCTCTTATCAGTTGTAATTAAAATAGTACAGCTGCTCTGGTGATATTATGATAAAGGTGTATATCATTTAGAGAGAGGTTGAGATAGACAAAGAGCCTAATACATGCTAGATGTTGATAATCACTTGCGTCAACTCGATACATTGTTCAAGGTCGAACAATGGCTGATTTGAGAAAATGCTCAAATATCTCTGGGCCGTTAATCATATCATCAGTGTGGGTTTTTTTTTCTCATCCATTCTGGTGCGCAGACCGGTTTTGTCAGTTGACTGCTTTGCCAAGTCTGCCGAGTGCACATGCGCCACATTTTAACACACAAGAGCGCGCATCAGACTAAACAAACAAGCAATTTTACACCAGCCATGTTTCTACATTAGTGATGCGCAAAAATGTGTACACTCACTATATAGGCTATGTAAGGTACAGATGAGTGTAAAGATGTATGAAAAAAATCTAAATAATATAAATTCAGTTTTTAAGTAGATTATGCATCCTAAATATTCTCTAACTAAATAACAGCCTTCCACCTCTTTTGTATCTTGTACAATTTCTGGGTCCTCTAAGTTATAATACCCTTCAACTATTCTTTCTTAGAAAAAGGGTACTAAACGATACCTTCCCTTGTTACCCTCAAGGGTAGCCCTTTTGTACCTTTAAGCTTTACGGTAAAAAATAAACTACAGCCCATTTATGTACCTTAAATCATTTAAAAGGTATGCTATATCAATGTTTCCAGGTGAAAGATACAAATTAAAGGTGCATAAGATGTAACCTTGATTGAGGGTACCACAGTAGCGACAAGAAACGGTCCTATTTAGTACTATTTTTTCTAAAACTGTATCTGTTATATCTCTCCCTAACTGCTTGGCAGTTATTTACCCATTCTTCATGACATATCTGTTTTAACTCTAACAGATACGTCACATGATTCCTTCTTCAGATCAGATCCTTGGCTCCTTTCCTTTGAAACTATTCCTCTGTTGCAGGATACTCCCACATTTCATTTAGAAATTGTGAAATAGCAGTAGATTTAACTTTTTTTTCCCCCCCACACAGAAATCAGGAGGGGTGCAAACTTTTGCACCGAATTGAGTATAGTATGTAAAGTGAATACTGATGATGAAGTGCCATTTCCAACACAGTTCATTTTTCCAACTTCAATCAAAAGTAAAGAGGTCAATCAAAAATAAAACCGGGTTTGTTTTTACGGAAGCGACTTGTGACCAACTATGGGCATTGGCGTTTTAGTCTCAAGCTTTTTAGCATCCGTCAAATAAGTTGGCAGGGATTGTGCAGTGTCAGTGTGCCCTCTTCTGGCTGAGTGATATTTTGGACATGTGCCTGGATCCAGTCGCTGCTTTTAAGGGCAGTTTTAAGCCATCTTGAGCAAATTACATGCTTATTGAATGTTTGAGGGTTAGCGTGGACTGGGACTGAGTCAGCACCCTTTTCTTTCCATTCTGAGTGGGCATAATCAGTATGTTATATGTACTAAGAAGCACTGTACACTGTACACTGGTCCTTGTACTGGAAACACCATGTATTGCATGTTTGAAGGATCTTAAAGACATTAGAGTCAGCTGGTCTGATCTGCAAAGAAAACCCAAGAATGTTCCATGTATGTAAGTCTCCAAGAAATGGGATTATTTGCCATTCATTATTGGATGTTTGCCATTCATCAAGATTCAGTAGACAGAGAATTTTTATGCTTCAGTGAGTTGATTTAGCAAACAACATGTACTGGTAATTAGAGACTAAATGTTCTGCTGATGTGGAGAAAATGAGGTGGGCAAAGCCATTTCTCAGAAGTCTTCTCCAGCTGTCTTCCTTGAAATTTTTTTTGGTGGCCAGCTGTTTCTGTTTTTCACATCAGTTTTAAAAATGATAGTGAAATTGTTGCACTGTTTAATTTTTTTTTGTATTTCACCTTTATTACACAAAATGAGAATAAATTTAGGTAGCCTAAAACATGATTTTTTTCACAGATGAAAATCGCACATTGTAAAAGAATTCTTTAGTCATCTACTTAGATCAGCGGTTTTAGAATGCTATTGTGTCCATATAATGCTAATTAGTGTGGAAATATTTTTAATTGAAATCCCAGAGTGTGTACATTGTCTATAAACCTCCAATAGGTGGACACCCAAAGATAGCTGGATAGCTACAAATACGGTAGCTACACTCACAGGATAGCTATACATATGGTAGTAACAATAAAAAAAACATAAACGAAACATGGTAAAGGACAGAAAAAATTATTACTTATTACTTCAAGATCACTTCGAAGAATGTTTCTGATTATGCAGCACTATTTTCTGCACAAACCCAAATGAGGCTGATTGATATCGAACGCAATCGTTTTTTAAATCATGGGTCTATCGCTAGATGATCGTCATCGTACAATCTGACCTGAAGAACACGTTATCAAGCAGTCGGTCAGAAATCGGCCAAGATTTGATTGGGATAATTTTGTACAGTGTGACAAGTGATACCGTTTTATACATTCGGAAAAACAATGTAAACATGTCTACGTATTCTGTATTTTTGCATATTTCCATCATGTCTTTTAATCATCTGTTCTGAACAAGGGACATTCTCACAGAACGTGTTTTCAAATAATTGTAAAAATGACGCCATCTGGAATTGTTTGCCTTACTTGACATCTTGCGGTTTTGTTGGCAATGTAATATTTGGAAGCTGGAAGCAAGCAGCAAATTGAAAGTGAATTTTAGAAGCATAGCAGGGAAGCGTCTCATTTACAGAAGCATGTATAGCTCTGTTTGTGGTAATGCCAGTCGGCCCTGTCTGAAGCTCATCCTATGTGGTTCAGGACTCGGGCCAGTGGCCTCGTTGCCGGCTGTGATTGACACGAGACTGTCTGGGGGTGGATACACCACATACACATAGTGCATATGAGTGCCATGTGGAGAGAAAAGAGTCTTAAATTCATTTAGTATTTGAGTAAATGTCAAAAGGTGTCCAAAATCAATATTTAATTATTTATTCTTTTTTAACCAGAGGTCAAAGATATTGTTTATCTTGTGGCAGGACATCTTAGACTGGAATGTTTTTTCAGTGTTTGTTCAGTAGGATTAGATAGCATGAATGCTTTGCTAATCTAGGCACGCAGTTCATTGCTATCGTGTAAAGACTGAACTGAAAACAGACCATAGATTCTGTTATACAGTCTAAATCTGGTTTAAACTGATTACTCCAGTGTCTGAACAGTTTTCCGGTAGCAAGTATCGGGCCCAGATGAGCATGTGGGCAAAATATTCTGTAGTCAGGCAGAATTCCACTGTGGATTAGTGGCTAAGATTTACATTCCACATTCTCCGCTCTCTCCCGGAGGACATGTTTCCATTTAGCACAGAAACTCAGAGATAGCAAGATGGTCTCAACTCTTATTAATTCTTTCATTTCATTTCAGTCTACTTTTGTTGATCTTAAAGAGAAACTTCCTTAACATACCTTCGTATTTGTCTGTATTGCCAAGCTAAATCTTCTCTATACGTTCTTTATATGTCATGATGATTGCAAATTGATTCTCGGCCAACACTTGTTCACTTTTTCAAATATCTGAGGCCATAGGAGACTATTCTACACAATTAATTGTTATAACTCATAACAGTTATACTTGAGTGCGAAAGTTTGTATCCTCCATGGTTTTTAGAATTGCACAATTTTAAAAATAAAGTATGGGTACATCCTGTTACAAAATGACAACCATAAATTAGAATGCACAAGCAACAGAAAAATATTTTGAGAGGCTCCAAAAGCTGCTCAGAGGATATAAAACAGAGACTGGAAACAGAGTATTTAAGTCACATTCAGAAATGGAGATTGACAACTTTTAAACTGATATCAGTTTAGGTTTTTTCACTATTAATATCTTAACATGCACTATTTGACCATTTTGTTACTTGTGATAATGAGTGACCATCTGTGAAACTCAACATAGTAAATGCGTTGTTGCTTTAAATGAAATCTGTCATCTGCATTTTGTTCTAAGGGGATGCAAACTTTTGCTCTTGACTGTATGTTGCTAAGGTTTGTGGCCCTACTGTGGCTGAGTTTAAATAAAGAAGTCACAATGACTTTTCAGTAGGCTGATGTATGCAGGTATTGAGAACAGAGGAGCGGCTGATTTTATCACAGGAACCCCTGTATCACTAACCTGGCACTATAATCCCTCAAAGTTCCTCAATCCTGGGTCTCAATTTGCAACAATTCACCTTTCACCAATTTATTTCTGCCTCCATTCAAACAATAAGGATACTGTACTGGGGCTGAGTGCCTTGCTATATTTAGACGGATTAACCTGGCTCTCCTAAGTCTTGGTTCTCCTTGGGGAACCACGTAACACATGTAGGCCTCTCAATTATTAATCTTAAGCCACAGGAAGGGAAAATTATGAAAGTGGGAAAATTTCATGATTCTGTTTTCAGCCACTCTAGTGGGTGTCCAAGTCAAGTCTAGGTTATTGAATGTTTCCAGTGAGGAGGACAAGCTGAAATCCAAAAATGGATCATGCTCCGAGACTTGCCACAAAATGAGATTTTCAAAGAACAGTGTAGAAAAAAATACGCTTGTAGATACCTCTCCAACAGCAAAGAAAGGTACTGTTTAGTACCTTT